ATTTATTTATTTATTTATTTATATATACAGAGGTACATCACCAACAACAAGAGGGACAGCATTTGTTGTGTATGATGATCTTTATGATGCAAAAGCAGCTGTTGATCAATTATCTGGATTTAATGTTGCAGGAAGGTAACTGTCTCCTTTTTTTTTCTCCTTTTTTCTCTCCTTTCTTGTCTCCTTTCTTGTCTCCTTTCTTGTCTCCTTTTATTTATTGTCTCTTTTATTTATTGTCTCCTTTTTTTTGTCTCTTTTTTTGTCCCTTTTGTTGATCAATTATCTGGATTTAATGTTGCAGGAAGGTAACTGTCTCCTTTTTTTTTCTCCTTTTTTGTCTCCTTTTTTGTCTCCTTTTTTGTCTCCATTTTTGTCTCCTTTTTTGTCTCCTTTTATTATTATTTGTCTCCTTTTTTGTCTCCTTTTTTGTCTCCTTTTTATTGTCTCCTTTTTTGTCTCCTTTTTTGTCTCCTTTTTTGTCTCTTTATGTATCTTTTTTATTGTCTTATTATTTATTTATTTATTTATGCAAAAAGTGTCTCCTTTTTATTGTCTCCTTATAACTGTCTCCTTAATGTTCCTCTTGCTGCTGTTGCTGCTGCTGCTGCTGCTGCTGTTGCTGCTGCTGCTGCTGCAGGTATTTAGTGGTGTTGTACTACAACCCCACCAAGGCGCAGCAAAGAAGAGACGCCATGGAGGCAAAGGAGACACTAGAGAGACTAAGAGCTAATAACTACCAACCTATTAATAAATAAATAAATAAATAAATAAATAAATATATAAATATAAATATAAATAAATATAAATATAAATAATTATATTATTATATTAGTATGTGGTTAAGGATGGCGAGGGAGACTGCAGCAGCAACTGCAGCAGCAGCAGCAGCAAGGAGAGCTGCAGCAAGGAGATAGGTTTCTTTGCAATGCTTAGTATAAGGAGACAGACACTGCAGCACATGCAGCTGCAGCGGCAGCAGCAGCAGCAGTTGCTGCAGCATAAGCAGTAACATCAGTAGCTGCAGCTGCATCATTAGCTGCAGCAGCAGTCATTGCAGCAGCAGCTGCAGCAGCAGCAGCAGCAGCAGCAGCAGCAGCAGCAGCTCTAAGGATGGTATAACTGCATATATATTTGTCTTAATAAATTATTATTTTCCTCTATAAGGGTTTAGGTGCATATACACCGCAGCTCCTTGCTGCTGCTGCTGCTGCTGCTGCTGCACTGCAGCACATTCATTAAGTGTCTCCTCTTTTAGGGTTTAGGGTTTATTAGGGTTTAGGTGTCTCCTTATCAGGCAAATTAGAGACCTAAACCCTACTACCGAGGGTTTAGGGTTTAGTAGACAGTCTATGAGGCCTATAGATCTACTAGATACTAAGGGTTTAGGGTTTAGGGTTTAGCCCTCTAGGGTTTAGGGTTTAGCCCTCTAGTGTTTAGGGTTTAGCCTTCTAGGGTTTAGGGTTTAGAGAGACACCTGGGACAGACAATCAACTAGGAGGACTCCTAAACCCTACTGTTCCTGCTGCTGCTGTTGCTGCTGCTGCTGCTGCTATTGTTGCTGCTACTGCTAGCTGCTACTGTTATTCTTACTGCTGCTGCTACTGCTGTTGTTGTTGCTGCTGCTGCTGCTGCTCCTAGCAGCAGCAGCACTTCTGTCTCCTTCTGCTTCTACTGTTTATTGCCTCTGTCTCTTTATCTGTCTCTCCCTATGTGTCTCCTTTTTGTCTCCTTTTTTTTTTCTCCTTTTTGTCTCCTTTTTGTCTCTTTTTTTTTTATTTATATTTATTTATATATATAAGTGTCTCCTTTATTTGTCTCTGCTTTATAGGAGTATTTTGCTGCTGTCTCTTGACAGCAGCAACTGTCTCCTCCTTTTGCTGCATTTGCTGCTGCTGCTGCTGCTGCTGCTGCTGCACACCTGCTGCTTGTGTCTCTATTAGAGACACTTTTCCTGTTTATCTAACAAGAAAGAAAAAAGGAGACAAAAAAGGAGACAAGGAGACAGTGTCTCCTCCTGCATGCATGCATGCATGCTCCTGCATGCATGCATGCATGCATGCATGCACTGTCTCCTCCTTTATTTATTTATGTATTTATTTTATTTATTTATTTATTTATTTATTTATGCATGCATGCATGCATGCATTAATACACCATAGGGTGTATAGGGAGACACCTGCAGCAGCTGTCTTTGCTGCTGCTGTTTTTTTGTCTCCTTTTTTTATATAAAAAATAAAAATAAATATAATTATAATTATTTAATTATAATTATAATTATTTATTTATATATAATTAATTAATTAATTAACTAATTAATTAATTAATTAATTATAATTAATTATATGTATTAATATAATT